AAAAGACTCATGGCTGTATTAGATCAAAAGGGTGCTTCTACTAAATACTGAGCAAAGGGTCTGAATACTTAGGACCATGTGATATTTCAGTTTTTCTTTTTTAATAAATTTGCAAAAATGTCAACAATTCTGTGTTTTTCTGTCAATATGGGGTGCTGTGTGTACATTAATGAGGAAAAAAAATTAACTTAAATGATTTTAGCAAATGGCTGCAATATAACAAAGAGTGAAAAATTTAAGGGGGTCTGAATACTTTCCGTACCCACTGTACATACACACATACACACATACACACATACACACACACACACACACACACACACACACACACACACATACACATACACACACACATAGTTTTTAAATGTATAAACAACCAGTAAATTTATATACAACTATTCAAAATATTCAATACTATCACCAAGTCTAGGCAGCAAATCAACTACTGAATGAAAGCTCAAGTCACCATTTTAGGAAAACTGTAAATATTGTATTATTATAAAAACAGAGAGACATCTGCAAAAAGAGACAGCAGTGGTGTTGTGAATGATAACTGGTGGGATGGGGCCGCTTAAGTGTGGATGTTGGGGAGCTGATGCTGTTTTCTGACCTTGCAGGTATTAGCTCATTCAGAGAGGGTAAGAGGATTACAGTGCACCGCGATCCTGTCTAAGGGGCCGCAGACTTTATTCTACTGCTCAGGCAGCATCATTTCAAGCTATGGAGTTTTCTGTGCATTTATTCTCAATATTCATGACAGCAGACACACGCACAATGACTGTGCTCACATATACGTACCATAAAGAGCAGTCCATGTCTGGTTGATCACATCTAAACACACTGTCCCTGACCTGGACAAAGAATAACACATTGTTTCTACTTTTCCATTCCAGAATAGTGTTACCACTTACATTTTGCAAGAGGTATGCAAACTTTTAATTTTTAATCGCTTTGTCATTTCGCTCTTGGTGTGAATAGACTTTTTTTGTTGTTGTTGCTGAAAACCAGTGTTGTTATTGTTAACTAAAACAAATAAAATGGAGAAAAAAAAGCTGAAATAAAATTAATTAATTACAACCTTAAATGAAAATGAGAAATGATAGCTTGGCTTAGTTGAAGTACTAAAATGACAAAAACTAAAACAAAAATAAAGCTCTATATTGAAATATATGTATATATATATATATATATATATATATATATATATGTATATGTATATATATATATATATTTTTTTTAATTACAAAAGCACATAATATGACTATGACAGTATATTAAAAAAAATTACAAAAATACTGCTGAAAAGGGAAAAACAAAATTGTTTGCCATAGTTGAGGTCAAACGTTGCACAGTGTAGAATTAAAATATGTGGTTTGAAAAAAAGGCAGATTTAAGAAAACAATTCTTCACAAAACTAATGTATGTATAAACCTTTATTTGACCCTCTAACTCTAACACTTTCTATTCTATTTTAATTCAAATGTAAAATGTAAATGTATGGCTTTGAAAGATGCATAAATTGTTTGGACACTCTTTGGTCGATTTTGAGTTTGAAAGCCTCTGGACACTGTATGTTTTGAATATATAGGAAAGAGTAGCATGAAAATTCTTCACAACAAAACTTTTTTTTTTTAGAAGAGCTTTAGAAAGACATGAGTGTGAGTAAAATACATATAAAAACATTTTCCTCAGAGCACACCAGAAGGCAAAATCAGAATCAAATTCAGACTAAAGAGACTTACGCTTCATCGATGTTCGGATGAAAAATCTTATTCATAAATCCTGTAGAGAGATTGAAGAAGAAAGATGGAGTGAGATCATAGATAGTTGCATTTAGTTGCTATTCCTAACCTTTCTCCAACCACACCATCTTTACAGACCATTAAATATGACATCACAGGGATGTTATGTGCTGTTTTTCACCTTAAACACCTCAAGTATGATTGTCTGAATGTACTCTACCCATCATTTCACAACCACACCAACGTGTGTGACTTCTAAAGGGCACTCAGCTGATTATGTCTCTTTGGGATACATCATGTATAGTAATACTTTACCTATAGAGGGCGATTTGAAGGGGTATTTGTCTGGAAGATCTACTCGCACCTTCCATACACCCCCTTCATATGGTGCTGACAGGAAAAACAGAAAGAGATACATGACTATTCAAGCAACAATTCACATCTGCTCTAGCATGTAACACAGACTTTGAAAAGACAAGCGATAATCGTATAATGCAAACTATGAATGACTAGGCATAGATGTCTTTGTATTCAAAAGTGACAGTGTGTGGGAGTAACTGTAATACTTAATTAGATGATTATGAATTATATGTGTAATAATGACACACGTGTGGGTGTGTACACATGTGGATGGGAAGCTGTGCTGTTGGCCTCGTGTGATATGGGGCATGGTGCAACGTGTGCTCGCTCCAAGAATAGCCCTTTGCAATCTGACCCTTGTGGCCAATAGCTCAAACTACGGAAGGTAAAGCTTAGCCGCAGATAAGACCTGCTCCTACTTCTCAAAGAGGAGGGAGGAAAGATCATTAAACAGCAGATGATGTGACAATTAAAAAGGGTCTCAAGCTGTTTTCTGAGTAAACAATGAGGTCATGTCCCAAACCAAGTTGTGTAAGATGTGCATGTTTAAATATGCAAAAGTGTCACGATTGTCGTGACGTGATAGCTAGGTAAAGAAATCTAATGAGACTCTGTGAATATCACGAAACATGTCAAGGACATGCCCGGGTCTTATTTCACCCCCAATTAGAAAGAGGCAAGAAATTAAGAAATTACTGTAATGAAAAACAAAATCAATTAGTATAGTAGCTGCCTTTGATTTTTTTTTTTTAAGAAATAAAAATATTATATGATTTTTTTTTGCATTATTTATTACAATTGTGACAATTATATTTGTAAATATTATAATCATATTATTTATTATGCATTTTATTGCATAGTATTTCTATTATCTATTAAATAAATCCCAATTCAAATGACTGTATTATATGTGCATTTCTATTTTTACAAATAATATATATATATATATATATATATATATACATATACACACTACCGCTCAAAAGTTTGGGATCAGTAAGACTTGTAATGTTTTTTTAAAGAAGTCTCTTATGCTCATCAAGGCTGCATTTATTTGATCAAAAATACAGAAAAAAACAGTAATCTTGCAAAATGTTATTACAATAAAAAAATAACGGTTTCTATTTTAATATACTTTAAAATATAATTTATTTCTGTGATGCAAAGCTGAATTTCCATCAGCCATTACTCCAATATAAAGTGTCACGTGATCCTTAAGAAATAATTCTAATATGCTGAATAGAATGTCAAAAATCTGCTTTTACAAAAGGATTTATTATCTTTACACAAAATATAATATTTTTTTTTCCCTTTTGATTTTTGGGGTGAAATGAGACCTGGAATGTTTACATAAGGTTCAATTTAACGTGTGTGTAAATAATTAAAACAGACTTACTTCCTTGTGGTCCATAAAACTTCACTACAAATTCATTGAGTCCACTCAGGATTGTGACTTCATGTTTACTCTCGATACTAATAGAAATGGTTAAGGCAAACTCAAAAACACTGACTTTAAGCAATTTTCAAAAGCAAAAACAAACATTAAAATTCACAATTAATTTATAGAAAATACTTAAAAACAGCACTGGGGAAAGAGTTTAATCAGGATCAAATAGGACAGACTCACCATCAAATTCAAAATGACAATTAACCATTAAAAAAAAAAAGTGTGAGGATCCACTAAAACGACCTTTCAACCCACAAAGAGGGCAGATTTACACCAACAGAACTGAGATTCTCACTTGGCCTTTATTCTTTGACCATCAATAATTATCAAGAGGTTCAGCTCAGCAGATCGGATAGCAAAAACACAATCCATGGGTCTGACCCACAGCTCTCTGACTGATGCACACAGGGCATCAAGGCAACTCAATACGACACTCCAGTCATTAGCTATGGTTGTCAGGCTGTCACTTCTCATATTGCTGGCGCAGAGAGCTTTAATCAGACCCTCGCTGAGCTAGACAATACATGCTCACCACCACACCAAGACCATGTAGGAGACCCGACGCTCTTAAAGACTCACACACAGTCTGCCAACTCAGCTTGAACACAACATGCATCCAAAACGCAGTTCTCAAGCAGACTTGGCCATTGCCACAGTTCGTATTTTAATTGAAGGAGTTACCGATGATGTTATCGCGTTTGTCAGCTGTTGAGTAGGCTGCACTGTGACTCAAACTGTATACTCATGCTGCCCAGACTGGCTAATGAAGGCAAACATGTTTACGCTCTGTTGAAACTGTGATGTGTCCTGTGACTTGTCTGAGAGTTTAACCAGTTGAGTGCTCGTCTCAAGGGTGCCTGTATCAACTGATGATTCTCGGCTCTGCTGGGAAACAGAGCTGTCAATTTCAAGAGGTCGCCTTTAAACATCTGGTGCGAGAGACTGCAGGACTCCCGGGAGAGGTGTGGAAGCTGCTGTCTGTCAGATTATAGTTCATTGTGGCTTTTGAGGAGCCAATGAATTTTATACCACAACAGGCTTAAGAATAATTTTCAATATTCATTTTAAATCTATCTGGGAGAGGAGCAGAACTAAAGATCTGTTCACGAATGGAAAAGGTGCTAAATGGAAGAATAATAGTGCCAGTAAAAAAAAGACAAAAAAAATAAGTTAATTTATTTGTAAATTTGTGTAACTTATTTACACATTTTATTATTTTTTTAACTGATAATTAATTTTTTTTAATGCCACTAGTTCTCCACAGTGATACAATGGAGCCAGATTGACAGGTTGAGCATGACAGAAAGGGATAGTGTTTTCTGTTTCAAGACACCAGCTGGCTTCTTCGTCAGTTGTAGCTCTAAGAGGTTGTGGTCACCAAGGTGTTAAACATCAGGGATTTATTTTAGGCTGTGAAGCATCTGCAGAGGCTGAGAGAATAGTGGAAGCACCCAGTAAAGTGTGTTTCTGCACAATGCTTTCATGCTTTTACACTCACAGATTCAAATCTGAACAAAGCAGACCCATCATTAGCTGCTTATCCTCAACAAACACAGAGACTTGGAACAAACGTGATCCTGAAGATCGGACTGATGACTCGTGCGTAATAACCTCGATTTTCACACGCCTTTTCTTTAACACATTAGGTTCCGTTCAGGTAGGCATTCTGCCGTCTGGTTGCTCTCGACGAGTCTAGTGAAATAAAGAAGGGGGTGAGTATGCGTGGAGCATCAGCAGACCTGTTAAAGAATCTGTGCCCATTGGAGAAGCACCACGCTGAGCTGTCTGGCTGTGCCCAATGACACATGGGACTACTTTTTGACCTGTATTTTAAGCCTCTTTTGGATAGACACAAAAGCAATTGGTCAAGCATGTACAGACACAAACACACACAGACAGAAAAGCAGAAGCCTGGAGACTGGAGAGGGTTTTCTCCTACAATAGATAGAGGTTGTAGGAGAAAAACCTACAGGAAAAAATACAGGTCATATTCCTCTCTCCACCTTCATCTTTTGAGAGTCATTTATCAGCAATGTACATTAAAACCTCTATTGATTTGATAATTCAATTTTCCTTCAATTCTTCGGCAGAACTGCAAGGCACGTGTTTCTCCTCTGAGGCATCAGTGACACAGATTTAAAATAGATCATTATTAACGGTACAGAAATCCTGCATGCATTAAAGAAATGGTTCTGTCATTATCCTCAAGTCACCCCAATAATATAATTTTTTTCCAGTGTGGAACACAAAAGAAGATATTTAGAAGATTAAAAATTTTAATTGCTATAAAAGCAGTCCACAGGATTCTATAATACAAGACAATTTGAGTTTTACTACAAATTTCACCCTTAAACCTTCAGAAGACTTACAAGGCAAACAAGTTGTGTGGACTACTTTTATGGTGCTTTTTTTGGCATTTTTGAAGCTAGACAGAAGCAGTCCCCATTCACTTTCACTGTTTTGAAAAGAACGGTGTTAATATTCTTCCAACATCTCCTTTTGCAATCCACTGAAGCAAGAAAATAATTGTAAATGAAAATGAATACTTAAAAATCATTTTTAGTATTTGAAATAAATCCAAAATAAAAATCTAAATACTAGATGAAATAATAAAAATGTAGTTTAGCAAAAAAAAGAAAAGAATTAAAGCTAAATATAAACATAAAAAAATAACTACAGCACATAGACATAAAATTACTCAAGCTGAAATTAAACGGAACATTTAAAATTAGGGATGCACGATATATCGGCCACCATATCGGTATCGGCCGATAAATGCTATTTTTTTCTGTTATCGGTATCGGCCTGATAAGAAAATTTGGCCGATATCTTAAAACCGATAAATAATGCATTATTTCCTTCAGAGACACTTCAGATGCGCACTGTTCGTTTGCAGCCTTTTGTGCAATTGTACATTGTAATATTGTGTTTATTTGATGTATATCTGATTTATCTCATATAGAATGCGTTTGGTTAAGTTAAAAGAGCGCTTCAGTTTACCGGTGATCATCTTTAGCTCAGCGCACGCAGCTCAAACAGCAGTGCACAACATTAATAACTATGATTGGGAATGTCGTGTATATAACATTCTAATGAGAACATTATTATAATAAAACGTTGTGAATTATTTGGGTTTAGTTGCTGAGTTTCAGCGCGTTGTTATGGGAAGAGCGCATCCACAACAGGATCACACATTCTGACTATAGCACGCAAGAACTGCATCATTTTGTACATATATAAGTTGTAATATTATGTTTATGTTGTATTAATATTAATCTCAGGATGCATTTCCTTGAATTAAATAAGCTGCCAGCAAAACGCTTCAGTTTACCATGTTCATTCAGCTCTTCAGCTTCAGCACGCGCAGCTCAACGGCTGCTATTTAAAACAGTGGTATTAATTTGTTACTTTTTCAAAATCATTGATACATTATTAATAACAACAACCACTTGTATTTTTCTCTTATTATTTTCATCAACAATATGGTTTAGTAATTAAAATCATTTAATTATTGTCCGTGCAGAGGCTATTCCGTTTTATTGATCTATGGCGCATTCATTTTGATTCTTTACACGTGTAATGATGTCCAATGACTTGCTTGCATTATTTATGCATTATTTTATTTATTTGTAAGACTTTTTTATGACTAAATTTGGTAATGGGAAAGTAAAAATATTTTTAAAACGTACACCGTTCAAACTAGGCTGCTTATGTTGAAGTGTTTGGGATGTGGCTTTTAATGATGAGACCTTTTTTGTAATCAGGCTCTCAAAAAGTATATAACAATTTATTCCGTTTTATTGCTCTATGGCGCATTCATTTTGATTCTTTACACGTGTAATGATGTCCAGTGACTTGTTTGCATTATTTATGCATTATTTTATTTATTTGTAAGACTTTGTTATGACTAAATTTGGTAATGGGAGAGTAAAAATATTTTTAAAACGTACACCGTTCAAACTAGGCTGCTTATGTTGAAGTGTTTGGGATGTGGCTTTTAATGATGAGACCTTTTTTGTAATCAGGCTCTCAAAAAGTATATAACAATTTGGATATAGATTTATCGGTCAACATATCGGTTATCGGCTTTCAAAAATAAAGAATAATCGGTTATCGTATCGGCCAAAATTTTCATATCAGTGCATCCCTATTTATAATGAAAACTAAAAATAAATAAATGATGAAAATCAAAAAGTGTCCATTTTAATTTCTGGGTTAACTACTTCCTACAGTTCTTACAAATTGAAAGCACACTGCAGTATTGATCAAACCAGTGATACATCCCTCCCCCAAACATTGAAGGCAAGAGAAATGCTGTGTTTGCTTTGACGATGCCTCTGATACTGTTCAGCGCACACAACCTTTAGTGAAATTCTCCTAAACAAGGGTTTAACTCCTGCCCAAGGCTCAATCTGGCTGCTGACAAAGCAGCCCAAAAGCATTCTCTTCGCACAAGACGCTGACGCTGTCTTGACACCCACCTGTTTTCACCCATCTCAGCTCTCCCTCCCCTCCATCAATGGATTTGTATGGATTAAGCCATAATCTACAGGAGACCCTTGAGCCAGTCTTCCTTTACGCACACGTATAATCTAATCATACCAAAGAGACTCATCAATCACCTCACTTAGAAATATCAAATACATTTAAGGAACAAGAGCGAGCACCAATCGTATTAACACTTATGTATGTTGAAACAGCACACGCTTAGATATGGATTCCTACCAACTGTTGCGGTTGGTGACACAATGCAGTCGTGCACAGATGATTACAAGCGTTTATACCTGTGTGAACGAACAGGTCCAGACAAGCATATGTCAAGGTATATGATCTTATAGAGAAGCTGCCTTGTTTTGCCAATTGGGTTAAAAATAAAAGAACAAAAAGACAATTTTTGTAAATGGTCACCCCATGCGGAAGAAAACCACGGGGGGTTCACCTTCTTTTAGAAGTCTGTTGTGAGAAAACAACATACTAGCCTGGACAGAAAAATGAGGGACAAACCCAGCATCTAAGACAGCCATGGAATTTATGCTCAAATAAACACTTTCTATGCAGTAAGAACTATTTTGGTCATTTTGTCAACTTGACAAATAAATGAACAAAGTATTTGGGGCTTCCATCTGCACTACTTCATATTGTTTTATGAACAGCATCAGACGTATTTGGCCATTCATCATGTCTCACTGTTTTTGTTTTTTTTTAAATGTCTTCTTAGTAAAAAATAAGGTAACACTTTATTTTACAGTTTGCTTGTGAATTAATGTGCCACAACCAACCACTAAATTAAAAATTAAGATATTTTTTCCCCTGTAATTTAAATATTTTAATGCTAGCAAAGTTAGCTAAACAGGCATCTTTGGCCATTTATCATGTCTCACCGTTTCAATTATTTTAAAATATTTTTATCACTTTTTTATATTATAGAATAGTAATGCCACAACCAATCATTAAAAAAAACTGTTTTAGTATTTTAAAGCTGCTACAGATAATGCACTAATTTGTCTAATTTTAACATTATGCTTAACGGTGTAGCAAAAAAGAAAAGAAAAAACAGTTTCAAATTAAATGTAGTTTTAGTTAGATTTGTAGTCGTGGAAATGTATTTTGGTTTATTTGTTTTTTTTCCTTTTGTAGGTGCATTTCTTTGTGTGATTCTCGAGAACGATGATACAAACTAAAATCATAAAATTGAAATACAGGTATGCAGGCTAACAGGCAGGTGGAGTGTGTTCTTCTCAGTCATTTTATTAGTACAGGTAAAGTCGACGGCCACCGTGCTGAATCACAGCATGAGTCACTGGGTACAATTGCAATTAAATCAGTCTCTCGCAAAAAAGACACAAACACAATAGCCAGGATTGCCCCCTCCCTGCAGGAGCAAATCCCTCCAGTTTATTCTGGATTGCCAAGGATGAAAACAGCAGGCAGACATCAACTGCCAAGACATGACAGCGTAGCAGCATGTTCTTTCCTGAGATGCATTCATTCACCATTACAGACACACAGAGAGGAGGTAATCTTGTTCTCTGACACCTAATGCTAACGGCTGGCCTTGGGGTGCAGGCATAATATTTACCCACTGCCAACAGGGTGGAAAACACTGTCTGCTAGTTAGCACCACATTACTAACAGATGATTAAAGACAATATATCACTATTCTACCACAGACCAGTTCACTTCATGTAGTGTCTACATAAAAGCCTTGTGGTCTAAAATATTTATATTTATGCCAAGGGCTGTGGACATTCTGTCCAAAGAGTTTCTATTTTGTAGTCCACTCAGACACCTCAGTCCACTAAACAGACACACTCAAGCCCTCACACAAGCTAAATGTGCTAACTATTTTTATTTAAACCTCATATTAAGGTATAATTGTGTGCAAATGTTACTACCTGGAATTTTCCATGAGCATCCTTAATACCATGCTAGATGCCTGGACACAAATCAAAAATTTCAACTAGATTTTGAGAATCTATGAGTTGTCGATGAGAATTTGTCAACCTAACTTGCTTTTGAAAAAAACGTAGAAAATCTTGCAAGCAAAAAAAGTTTCAATTGGCAAAGGTGTAGCGATGCATGAAGCACAGCTCAATATCACTTTTTGTTGGTCAACACAGCACATTCGCACTGACTGGATGGCGCATGTGAAATTTTGCAAAACAAAGGCAAATGTGAAGTTTATGGGTTCCCAAAATCATATACCAACAATGCCCATCAACTTACACTGACATTAAAGACAAATAAAAAGATCTATGGATAAAAAAACCCTGAATTTTTTTTACTTCTAAAACTGCACTCTAACAGAAGAGTGACTCTTTATGAAAAGGCGAGACGGTTTTTTTCTCTCTCACTGTCATGCAGTCACAAGCACACCATTTTTCTCAAGTTGGGCAGATGAAAGACAGGAAGTGTAGCAGTTTTTAGTCTGCATGACACTAAAAGGAAGTACACGGGTTCACTGATGGAGAAACAGACAAGACGCACCTTGAGGTTTAAGATTCCATTCAACCATCTAGCGAATATGGGTCATAATTTGCATCAGGTGAAACAGGGTTATAAAGGCAGACGTCAAACCTAACAGGAAGCCATATATGGCCAATGCCAGTACCCATAAAACAACTTCCTATTCTAGTGTAACCTCACACCCTTCCCCAGCTCCCTGGCTCAATGACTCGCTGTGTAAGTCTGCTCTGCTCAGGACTGAAGTTATGCTGTGTGCAGCTTACCTCTGGAGTCACATGCATGAAAGTTCAAGGATTTTTCACAAATCTGGTTAGATCTCAGAAAGAGATTGGGTGAATTAGTGAGAATTGCATATTATTTTAGTGACCATTCCTGCGTAAACGTCTGGCTATAGCAAAATCCACACAAAACAAAAATTGTATAAAAATCTCCCTTTCCTTGTCCTAACTCTCTCCATTAGGGCTCTATTTAATTCCCTAATTAACTAGCTCTCATTTGATCAGCAGGCACATGCACAGCTCTGAGACGGTCTTCATCTCTCCTGGACATCTGCTGTACTCTAGACTAAGACTGGGCAATACATAAATTCATTACATAGTTGTGATTTGGCTGGCGATATGAAATCAAGTAACATTTTGAATATGGCAATGATTTTATGTATTAATGACACCTTGGCCACTATGTTTCCTAAAGACTGTGTCAATAGAAAATTTTGGCAGTCTTTCTTTGCAACTTAGCACGTCATTTAAACTTCAAATCATTTAAACTTCAGCAAAAACAGTTGGAATGTTTGATTTATTTCCTTAAATTAGTTCAAACTGTCCGTTTCAATGAATTAATTTAACACTTTGATTCCACAACTTGTATCAATCTAAATTTTTCATGACCATCCTTAAAAATTAAATTAAATAAAAAAATTATGTAAATAATCAAATATATATTTTTAAAACTGTATCTTAGTTCTTACATTAAGGATTTAAAATATATGGCAACAAAATTTAAAAAAAAATTATCAAATAAATATTCTTTCCTGTCGTTCCTGTCATTAAAAACTAGATTTTACTAGAACCTCACCTTAGTTTTCAAATTAAGGAATTTAAATATACATGGCGACAATGGCTGTTTGGTTGGGGGGGGGGGGTTGGGGAATCACCATTCAATTAGAGCAATATATACAAATATCTAATATGGATAAAAAACTTCTAGCTATATCACACAGCCCTACACCAGAACAGATACACCACCCTGCTATGACATGACATCAACTCTCAGAGTATGTGCTGTGATATGGTATAATGTATCACAAACTACAAGAGCAAACACCTATATAGGCTTCGTAGATGCGTGCACCGTTTAGATCAATTCTAGATAAGTCTGTTTGCATTACATCTCATGAAGGCATAGTCATCTGTAGCCATCTTTACTAGAGAATTGTTGAATAAACATTATGACACACTTGCATATTCATTGCCAACGTGCACATCACAAACATTATGTGGTGCCAGCATATTCCATAAGTGTGCATTTCTTGATTTGAAAGTGAGCAGCAGCTGCCTGGTTATATATGTGTGTGTGTGTGTGTGTATATATATGAGAGTGGATGAGTGAGAAGAGGGGAAGAGAGCAGAATCTGGCTCTACCATTCACTTTCGGTAAAGCACAACCCAGTGCCTTAAGGGCTAAGACTGTTTACCTGCAAGATTATCAACCTCATCCACACCATCTCTCATAGCATTAACTAATAAAGCAGGAAATTATTACTAATGAGACTCATCAGTACAGTTACATGATCAGTGTCATTCTGAACTACAGAGGACAAGTGGTCTGGAGAATGGATGGATGGGTCATTACCAAGTGAGTTTCAGACTGGGACCCACTTAATATTTTTTTTAAATAGAAAGCAATAAAGCACTACCAAGGACTGAAATGCTCCAGGAAAGCTCTTTTCATGCCGAGCTAAAAAATGACCACAGCTGATCAGAGTTGAAAGTCAAAGGTCTTTGTGTGCCATTGAGAAGGTGATTAGCTACACCTGATTGAGTTTACAAGTCATTTTTAGGAGGCGGTGATCCTTTTTCCAACTCAGTGATTCTGTTTTTTTTTGTATTGTTTTTGGTGTTTAATCTTTCACTTGGATGTTATAAGTTGCACAGAAACTGAAATAAATGAAATGACAAACTAAAATGAAAATTACTAAAACTAAATAGAAAAAAAAGTGCACATTAATAAATACTATCCACCTTATTTTTCACGTAAGAAAGGTTGCAGCCATTCGTAAATTTTATGGGACTGGCTTCCAGTGTCATTCGCTTCCAGCTATTTTTAGCAGTACAAAACAGCTTGTTTTACGGCTTGATAATGCAAACTGGTGTGTCTTACCATGTTATTTTAATGTATCATCTTAATTATGAACGCACTGGTTTGTAGTGCAAACAGTTTTACAGTTTACTGCACTTTGTTATTCTTCTCGTTATTTTCCTACAGCGGCTAATGAACCGGAAGTCTCGCACATTCACAGAAAATAGCTTATTTCTGCATTGAAAAATAAGGTGGATAACAGTAAATAAACAATACTAAAATAACACCGTCTTGTATGTGATTTTCCCTGTTGCAAACTTAAGGAAAGGAAATTACATCATGGAACCTAACATGGCTCACGTTTTCTGCAGTTAAAATGGTTTCAGATGTACATGTCTGTAGCAATACTCTCTTGCAGAAACCATATCATGGGACCCAACAAACCTTCACTTTTAATCTAATACCGGCAGCTGACTTCATTACCATTCTGATTCATTTGATGTGCACTTATTGTTCACTACAGGGGAAAGGATTGCTACTTGGAATCAGTGTTATTTTTTCCTAAAAGCCATTTTCAAATGACCACACACATTCTGGTCTCCTTCTAACAACCAAACTATGTATAAAACATGCACACAATCTTAAAGAAACACTACAAAATGTACTAAACCCATTTAGCATATCGACAGTCGTATACGCCACAGCATCAGGGTTTAGCAGCCTGTGATTTGCCGGCGTGTTGAGGTGAAGTATTCTGATCTACTGTAGCGCAGGATCCAAATCGGTTTTGATTTTACTCCGTACGAAAGCAGCTAACCTCCCTTTCGACATCACAAGTTTCTTATTCCGAGTGGAATGCTGCAATCTGAAGTGCTCTGTTAGGATGAAAACTCTGATCCCAGAGGCCTGAACATAGTCTGTGAATACTGATGGAGAAAAAGAGATGGGGAAAGAAAAGCCTCAGCACACTTTACATATCAATGCCTGTCTCAACCCACAGTTCAAAGGCAGCGAAATCCAAACTGAAATGCCCTTGTGTATAACACTTCAACCTGTGCATTGCCCCGCAAGACCCGTGAATGTTTGTTGACATACAGTGTACAATTCAACTGCATTTCCACAAAGAGCCATGATTTGTACTTTCAGAGCTAAAATGCTCATGCCAAATGAATGCAGTGTTCATAACTTCTAAACACAGCTGTGACTTTGAGTAACCATATAGGCTATTTCATGCTAATGACTAATAAATGAGGCCATAAAGTTTAAGGTTGTGACATCACAAGGCTATGCTGCTATTATGAGTTGCAGAACCTCCTGTGAGATCTCACTAATCTCAAATGGCACACTTTGTGTGAGAAGGTGATTAGCTACACCTGATTGAGTTTACAAGTCACTTTTAGGAGGGGGTTGATCTCTTTTTCCAACTCATTGATTCTGTTTTTTTTTCCTTCTTTTTTTTCTGCCATGTTGGTGTTATATCTTTCACTTGGATGTTATAAGTTGCACTGAGTAAATACACCTGGATAAAACAAAAACTGTGTCCTCCATTTCAGGCTGCAAAGCAACAAAATGTGATCATTTTAAAGGGGGGTGATTATTTTCGATACTCACTGTATAATATATCAAAAGCCATGCATTTATTTAAATCTATTTTAAAGAATTTATAATAAGAATAAAATGATCCAACAAGCATGATCAGGCAGTAATACTTTTTTCCCCTTAATGACACTCTCTTGCACAAGATTTGCTCGCATCTTCATTTGTATAATTTTTTCCCTCCAGGTGCTCCAACCTGGTTTCTGTGGGTCGAAAAGGGCAGGGTCCATCAGTATGCAACACACCAAGGCTCAAGCAACCATATCACCTGAAACATCCTGCAGCAACAAGATAAAATGCCTGTGCACTCAGCTGATTACACCACTACTCGTACAAACGCAATACGTCAAACTCTGTCAAATAAGGGCACCTAAGCTTGACATTCATTATTCATTAGTAGAACAAGACAGTCTAATATAGGTCACAAAGATATTCATATACATCAAGGCTAATCTGATTATCTAGTTTCACAGTAGTGATTACATCCATTTATCTGTAGCATTTAGATTTGATCTAACAGATAATCATTTTGTGTTTTGGACTGCTATAAAACGCAACCCCTCTATTCTCAAAAGGGGGAAAAAAAATTTGCACACGCGGCGCAGCCCCAAACATCATCAAACAAAGAGAGGAACTTCAGTCCATCTGTTTTCAGCCTGAGGTTGGCCATGCGTGCAGGAAACTGCAGTATTATTGTGGGTTACAGAGGGCCTCAAATCTCCCACTGTCAAGGGGCAGACGCATCCATGACCCGACCGTTTGCCCTCCCTGTCCGTCAAACCCACTGTAACAGAAACAATCCTTTGCAGTCAATAAACTCTTCTAAATTTAGACTCTTGTAGATAAATTGAGCTTGCATATAGAAATGCTGGGTGACATCTGGTAAAGCTCTAGAAATAATACGCTTTTGGCATAGAAACTGAAACAAAAGAGAGATTTAATACAAAAATGAAAATGATGTCCTAATTTACCTAATCACCCTCACACTGCTCAAAAACCATACTCCGTTTTCCATTAGGGGTGCGCACAACTGGTTGAATATTTGACCTATAATTATTATTCGAAAAATAAAAACACTATTCAAATTTGACTATGCGTTGGTTTGCTGGCCGTAAATTAATCCATAATTTTGAATTACTTTGATCAAATGAATCAGTGAAACAGAGTTATCATAACATCACCACCACAATAAGAAATCACATGAAATCCATACAACAGCTGTCCATCACTGCATTCACAACTGCAGGAAAGCACAGCTATACCCCGAGTGAGCCTAGAAGAGAGCTTATCTGATAGCAAAATAATCTTAAAACATATGCTTCCTTTAAGTTTCCTCGAGGGAGAGTGATTTAAGAACAGAAAACACAAAGCGCTGTAAGAAACTTTGCTTAGCACACTGTTATCTTTGTGTCTCTGGAACGTCTGTGTCGGATGATGTAAAACTCTGGACAAGTTTTCTTGCGCGCATACATACATACGTTTTTAACATGTCTTGACTGTCTTACAGTCTGACATTAATGATAACTGAGATCCCACAGAGTGACATGATCATCATGTTCGTACAGTCTGACAAGCAACAATCGTAAAGGACTATTATAAATCATACAGTGTGCACCCAGCTTAAAAGAAAACCTTGAGATATAACGTAACTTTGTTGTGCATAATGCCTAATTGTAAGCTTGTTCAGAAATGGTGACAAAAACTTGATTATTAAAAAATAACTTCTTTCTTGTTAAACGTCATTTAAATAAACGAATATTCAAATATACATTTTTTATGAGCCTAATTATTTGAATACAATATTTTTGGAAAAATTTTTTTTTCTATTTCCATACAATCAAAATGGATGGCTAATCCAATTGCAAAAGCTCAAAAAGACAAATAAATGAATAAATGACAATAAATAAATGAATGATTAAAATTAAAATAACATTAACAACAACAACAAAAAAACTATAAAACAAATAATTATCTATAAATACTATAAAAAATAAAAATAATAAATATCAAAGAAATATTATAAAAATAAATAAATAAAAATAATTCTAAATAAAATTAATTCCTATAACTCACATGCTACTTTGAACGTTTTCTAAAGCCATATGTCAGATAGCAAATGTATTTTTGTATTTGCAAATTTTTATGGTTTTATCAAAAGCAACTTACAGTTCATTCAAGCTACAAGCCTGCATCTTATCAATAAACACATTCTCTGGGAATCAAACCTGACACCAAGCATCAGCCTTTCTGAGCCATTTCAGTTCAACACGTACATTATAACAGGAAAAACAGATGAGAATGACAGGGAATATTGTGCTGTAGCAGCTATCAGACAGGCACTAACATAGCAGCGGCGCAATCATAAGACTCCATAGGCAAATGAAAGCAGGCTGGGGCAGGCCGGATGTCAGCTCACGCACAAAGAGGCCGATCACACCAGATAAAAGCCCTCGATTGGTCTTACACACCAGGGCCTCTGCCTCAGCACCACAGGGATCCGATACACTCCACTAAACACAGGGGG